CTATATTACTTTTTCATTATGTTTATTTACTTATAATTTACAATAATATTTAACTATTACCTCTCTCTGGATAAATACTCTCTAATTATATAACTTACATAATGCTATACAGCAAAAATCTACTGAATAACTTAGATTCATCTTTTTTTGTTCATGTTTTGAGCCAAACATCTTTTATTAACAAGGATGTTTCCAATATACACCTAGAGAAGAATATGCAAGCCCTGAGTTATTATGTAAAATTGTTTTCAGAACCAAGAAAACAAACATGGGTGTAAACTAATAGTTATCCACAACTTAAGCTATGTAGAGCTCTGAACAGCAGATAATTCTGCTGTGTTCAGAAGATATAGCATATCCCTTATCAACCACAGACTTCTTATTCATTTATTCCCCCAACTCACTCATTCAACAAATATTTATTAGGTCTCCGGCTGAGTGTATAGCAGTGTAAAAATGGTGTCAAATGTAAAAAGGGCATGGCAGCAGCATCTGACCTCTTTGTCTAAGTTCACAAGTGAGGAGAATCATCAACGTCAACAGACGAAGGTGGTGTCCTATGACATGGAGATCAGACATACTTCCTCCTCTCTCCACCGATTTTATCCATTCTGACACCAGCTGTATCTCCCACAGTACTGTATACTCCTCTCCTGGGTTTGATAAATTGTTTCAGCAGCCACCCAGAACTCACAGACAACATTCATGATTATGGAGCTAGTTAAGGAAGTAACCGTTTCAAATTTAGGATCAGGAAAGACTCAGGAGATAGTTCTTCAGTCAGGACAGAGTCTTTTCAGCCAGGCCTAAAAGTCCCTTCCCTGTTTCTTTAAGTGTTACAAAGCTCTTTAGCGCCTCCGAAAATTGACTAAGGGCATCCCATTCTATCAGCAAGTCTCCATTCTGAAGGTGCTCAGCACTCTCGCACACCCATGTGGACACCTTGCTCACTGGGTGGGTTAGTCCACTGTTTAGTCTTTTGTTAGTCTTCTGGCACTACTGCCAGTGTTTATCACCCTTACATGCTTTGCCCAGTGTTATAGCTCTCTCTGTCTCTTGAGTCTAAAAGGTTCTCAGCACAGACGTCTTCTTCTTGGTGGTAGTGAAGGCCCCCCTTTCTGCCTCTGCAATGGCTCATTATAAGCCTAATGGGATGTCAGAACTGACCAATCCCCTATTAGGGTTCTATACACCTTATTTGAATGGTCCCTCCCCTTACAGGATACAGTGCACTTCATCTGCATTATTTGCAAGCTGTCCAACTTCCTTGGTGGACCACAAGCACTTTCTTTGCATAGTCCCACTCAATTCTTTGGTGAGAGTTTCAAGTTCATGGTGACAAAGTCCATACAAAAGCAATCCATTGACCAAACATTTTGAAAATTATACAAACAAAAGTAGCCAAAATAGATGATTGGGACATACTAAAAATTAAAAACTTATGTGCATCAAAACACTTCACCAAAAGAGTAAAAAGGAGTCCACAGAATGGGAAAAAATATTTTGCAATGACACATCGGAAAGGGGACTAATTTCTAAAATATATAGGAAACTACTGCTCCGCGGGAGAAATATGAGGTTTTCTGCTCCCATAAAGATTTACAGCCTCGGAAACCCTGTTCAGGGTCACTATGAGTCGGAACCGACTGCACTTAACAACAACAACACAACACCTTTACAAGAAAAATACAACTAATCCAATTAAAAAATGGGCACAGGACATGAAAAGACACTTCACCAAAGAGGAGATCTGGGCAGAGCCAACAAACATATGATGAAATGTATACGATCACTAGCCATTGTTGTTGCTGTTGTTAAGTGCTGTTGAGTCGGTTCTGACCCATGGTGACCCTGTATAGGGTTTCCGAAGAGCGACTGGTAAGCTTGAACTGC